TAAATCCCTTCAGCTGAACTCCCAAGATGCCTTACTTAACCCCGATAAAATAGTGTGGACACTTTATGTTTATCCTCATAGTGTAGCTGAAGAACATGCTGCAAAATTCCAATGCTATCAATACTGTAAGAACATATTCTGATGGACTGATAGTTTACAGATGTACTATACATGATCAGTTAAACTAATTTGTGCACTTGAATAATACAGTTTATCCTCACAAATATTCCACAGCTCAGATGCAAGTTATACAACCCATATCTGCATACTTTGAAATTGTCGCAGCAATTGATGTATTTCTACTTGATATTTTTTCCTAATATTCTATTTGGGAGCCATTAACATCTATAAGATTGCCACTATAAAGTTTCGTGAGCACTGGTGCTCTGTAACTAGTTGTATGTATGTTTTGTTGGCCGATGGGACAGAATAGGGGCTACCAATTCCGGTTACTTAATTTGGCAGCGTGTACACGAGTTTAGTAAAGCTACAAAGCGGAACACTAAGCCAAATACCTGAGAATGAGAGCGACCCGTGGTGAACACCAAGTTTCCTTCTGCCTCCGTCAAGACCGTCCCCCGGGTACCCCTATGGATACCCGCGACAACGCGTACGTTGTCCCCTTCCCAAAAAGTGCGCTGCACTTGAGACGCTAGAAGCGTCGTAGTGATGGGCTGAGAGTTGTGGACAACGCGAACTTGCACGGTAGACCCCTCCGTGCCGAGGACGTAGCCAGGGACTTCCGGACCACTATCCCCCAGGCTTGCGATTATGCGATCACCATAGATGTAGTTGCTGACTGCGAAGCGATCACGTTCAGCAGAGATGGCAAACGGACAGAGCGAGCATTCAGTGCACGCTGTGATATCTTCAGGTATAATATCCGAAGCGGGGACAAGGTCTCCCCGATGGAAGTCGATGAAAGCGAAGCCCTCAGAGGTGAACGTGTGCTGGGCCAACGTGAAGCGTCCGTCAGGTAGCTCCCGTACCAACCCATGAAACCTTTCTTTGGCAGAAGCGAGAGGAAGGAGAGAAGGAACAAACTCGCGGCGGATGATGAGCCTCGGAGGTCTGCGAGAGTTGGAGGAACCAGAAGACGGTTGGGCTTTGGGCACCAATAGCACAAAAACTCGTTCAGTGTCTTGTTCCTCTTTGTCGCCGCCCGTTTCCCGAGATCCGCGTGGTTTAGGAAATACGAACCCAAGATTCTCCACGTAAGGGCCATATCGAGGTCGAACCCAAGTCATTAGTGAAGAAACGGCAGCGGTGGGAAGGCTCTCTGTCCTATCAACAGATTGGATTACTCCGGTGGTTGGACGATGTGACAATGGAAAGCTGTCCGCGGCTGCCGCTTTGCTTGGTGCCTCGATGAAGATGAAGTTCGGCAAACCGCTATACACATACGCCGCCTTTCCCTGAGTCATCAATAGAGCGTGCAGATATCTCCTCGAATCCGCTGAGATATATGAGTAAACTGGATTCAAGTGCAGTATATATCACGAATTTACCTTGTACGCGAACTCTCCATAGTAAATTCGGCGAGGTCATACTGTTGAACTTTGCCACTAGCGTAGCTTCCAAGGCTTCTGGTACTTGATGAGTCGATGCCTGAAGAGGTCTCTCTAGTGATGATTGGTAACCTTGCGTCGGGCGATGGGAAGTAATAACATTGTCGGCCTGAGCGAGGTAGGCCTGTTCGAGCTCTCGCAACCGCTGTAAAGCCAGCTCTTTGTCGTCCTCTGCCTCCCAAACGACGTTAAAGGCGGGGGCCCAATCCTCTTCTCCATATCGGCCTCGAAGGTGCGCCTGGAGGTCTTCCGTCACTTCGACAAAACTGAGTTCCCCTCGAGCATACCCTCGGACCAACCCCCAAGCTTGTGGGTCCTTCAAGGGAGAGAGTACGGATACGCGAGCCTCGATACCGGTGACCAACGAATGCCATTGATTGAGCGGCGAAGGACCAGGTATACTAGTTGCCGACGGTGTAGTATGTCGGTTTGTTATCCTCTCGCTGGCTGAGGCTCTGTCGACATGGACATAGGACTCTGATATGAACGCGTCAACAAATATGTTAGGTATGACAACAGAAGAGCGTGCCTTCATCGTCCCCTTCGCCCTCTTCGTCCCCTTCGCCCTCTTCGTCCCCTTCGCCCTCTTCGTCCCCTTCGCCCTCTTCGTCCCCTTCTGCTTCAATGGCGACATCATCGATGAAGTCGTTTATTCGACGTCTTGTCACGCGTCGCGAGCGTTCAGTCTTAGATGCAATGCGTTTCATGTTTGGGATAGACAGACGGCTAAGTCCACGACTGAGATGATGAAGGCGAAAGGGAGAGACAGAGGTGGCGCTGATTACGATTATATAGGGAATCGCGATTCGTTACCATGAATGGAATACTTCTATACTGCCACGAGTTGTACTTCTATACTGCCAAGAGTTGTGTGTCCGAAACCGCCCTCCTTGCCCCGCCTGCTCGAATGATCTAGGAGGGTTAAATGACCTAGAAGGATCGTATGACTGAGAGGCCTCGCAGCGCACGGGGAGAAAGGAGTTTACGCATCTGTCTCCGGATTACCGACAGTCCGACATCAAGTAGGATGAGCGCGTGTCGGTCGATAAGCCTCTCCGCGCCGCGTATATCAGCAATGAGTCAATATACCACACGAGAGGAGAGGAAGAGTGAGTGGGGAGCAGGGCCTAGTGCTGAGACATTGGGAACGACGATGGGCACGATAGTTATGATATGGTCGGAAAGAAAGCCCGTGAGAAAGTGTCGGTCGGGTAGATATGGGGAATTGCGACGGGGTACAGCCACCACCCCTGTGAGCAGTCTCGGAGCGGGCTCGGGGCTGGGTGGTGGCTGTACCCCGTCGCAATTCCCCATATCTACCCGACCGACGCTTTCTCACGGGCTTTCTTTCCGACCACATCATTGCTATCATGCCCATCGTCGTT